CTCGCCAGTCCCGAGGCCGAGCCCTGCCCTTCCATCCGGAAGACCTCAGCCTCGCCCTCCTCCTCCCTAGGACCCAACAGCATTGTGCCAGCCCAGATGCCTGGGTTCAAGTCCAGGCTCCAATACTTGGTAAGCCTTCTAACCTCAGCTGGTCTCATTTTCCCCATCTGTACGTTGGGCTGGGGACAGTCCCTCCTTTTAGGGTCTCTGTAAGGATCAAATGAGACAGTAGCACTTCAGGCCCACTCAGTAAATATTTGCTTCCATGTGTGCTTGTTCCCATGTGCACACAGTTGGGTGCAGTGATCCCCAAAGCCAGGAAATCACCTCCCAGGCAATTTCGTGCGAATTCTCCCTTGTCACTGGGTCTTATTCTTCTCGCTGGGGAAGAGAGGGGCTTGGGGAGGGCAGCCCTAGGGGACCCGGCGATCCACTGCAAGTGCTCCATCTCCTGCCTCAGTGGCTGGCGGGTCAGAAGGGCCCTTGCCATGGGCGACCGTGCCCGGCACCCTAGCCATCGCCACAGCACGGCCGGGAGCCAAATTCCCCGCGTCCTGCTGGCCGCCTGCAGCTCCTGTCGTGTGCGGAAGAGGCTGCGGGAGCCGGCTGATGGGCAAGGTGTCAAAACCAATTGGTGTGAAGGACTTGGGGAAAACCGCTTGTGAGGGCCAATTCCCCACAGGAGGCCGGGAAACCCTCAGCCCAAGGCGGAGTGTTTACGGGCGTAATTGATAGAATAATCACCCACGCCCGAGACAAAGGCGAACACATTTTTAACATCATAACCTTCGGAAGACAGGACTCAATTTTCTCCATCTTCCAGCCACCAAACTAGCCGGCTTATTGATGGTGAGATACCAACAGTTCAGTAAGGAACACAAGGAAGCCAGAGTCATTTTTCAGTGCACAGGCTGCTTGCCAAATGGCCCGGTGTCCCCTCCCTCCCCCGGCGCCCCGCTGCTCCCTCCTGGCAACAGAGAGAATCTCAGGACAGTGAATCACTCAATGGACGAAGGCCCAGGCCAAGCCAGGATCTTTGTCTGCATTGGGTGTATTAATAATTGAAGGTGCTGGCCTAGGGTGCGTGTGTGTGTGTGTGTGCGCGTGTGTGTGCGTGTGCCTGTGTGTGTCGGGGGGTGGGAGGACGATGTCTGCTGCAGTGTGAGGCTTCCTGGGGCTCCTCTTGGCGTCCACATACTTGCGCCAGTCTGGACCCCTCCCGCCACCCAGGACACCAAACCAGGCCACCCCTACATCAGCCAATTTCCCATCCCTGTGTCTCCCGCCGGGCACAGAGGAAGAAGCAAGGCAGTGACTTCCAAACTCCAGGCTGCACAAGAGCCATCTGAGGTGCTCGTTACTATGCAGATTCCAGGGTCGCAGCAATAACCCTTTTGGCCAGTGGGTTTGGGGGGACTCTGGGATCTGCCTTGTGACAATCTCCCCAGGGGACTCAGAGGCTGGGGGTGTGCAAGGATCCTCACCAAGATCCTGCCTTCCAGACCCCTGCCCTGGATGAGCTCTGGAGAGCACTGGATAAAGAGTCCAGTCCAGCTGCCTGTTTCTAACTGGCATGTACCCTCAGCAAGATCCTGACACCTTTATGAACGGCCGCTTCCTCTTGGTGCCACCCACTGCTTTACTGTTCTCCAGAGAACTAGAAGGGAGCACGCCCGGGTTAGGGCTCTGCAGAAGCAGCTTTGTCACGTGACTGGGCCAAGCCTGCCTCGAGGCTGTCCTGGAGGAGGCAGGCCCAGAACTGCCGAGCACACCTTCCTTCTGAACACAGCTTTTGGCTCTCTGCACAGACTCGGCGACCTTGGGCAAATCACTGGCCCTCTCTGAACCTCAGTTTCTACGTATATGCAACACCAGCCCTGCACGTATGGTCAGCCGGAGTGAGTTAACACCGGCAAGGGCTTGGCAGCACCTAGCACACAGTAGGCATTTCACAAACGTCGGCTCCCTTTCCTCCCACTCTTGCTGGGCGCATGGCAACAGGCTAACAATTTCTGATATGGAAAAATCAAAATAGCTGCCATTTATCTTGCACCTACTAGGTGCAGACACCACCCCGCCTCCAAGTCCCCGGCGCCTGCTCGAGAGGCAGGCTCCACGTGCTCCACGTTCGTCGCTCACACCTCTAAAAAGCCCTCTTCGAAGTGGGTTGAGTGGAGGTAGGAGGGAGGTGGGGAGCGAAACAGATGTCCTTGCTGACCCATCTGGCCGCAGGCTTTCCCTGTGACAAGCTCCAGGGCAGGCAGGCGGGAGGCACTGGCCCCGCGGCGGAGCCGGGCTCAGGTGGAGCTGGAGGGGTGAGCAGCCACCGCGCGGCGCGGCCGGGGTCAGGGGCCTCCCCAGGGACCCCTGCCTCCAGCCCCCACCCCCACCCCCACCCCCAGACACCGAGACACCTTCCCGACCCCGCCACATTTCCTGAATCAGCTGAGGACACACAGAGCCCAGGAATAATGAAACGATCAGGCTCCAATCTGCTAAACAGCAATTTCTGAGCTTTTTCAGCACACACAGCTTTTATCAAATTGGTATTCTCCTCCTGAACACAAATGGCTTATTAGACATGACCCACTTATTCGCCGCGTCTCACTATCATTAATAACAGTTTCTTTTTGTGATTAAGTGAGTGGCTCCAAACCCTTGCTGTGGTGGCGGGCGCTTGGCCCGGCAGAGGGGCAGCTGTGGGGGCTCCTCGGCAGCCACTACTTGGTGACTTTGAACCTGGCAATGTCGAGGGAAGGTGGCCTGGCCCCTGCAGAACAGCCTGGCCTCTTCGTTCTTCAGGGACCGAGGACGCCCAGAGGGGTGGCTCGCTTGCCCAGAGCCCCAGGGGGGTCCAGAGAGAAGCCAAGTTCACCAGCAGCTGGTGCTGCCGCCCTTCCACCTGGCCCTGCCCCAGGTCTTGGCTTGCCCTCTCCAGGGTGTGGATGGGAGGTTCTGGCTGGAGGGGCAGAGCTGTGACCCCTCGGCACACCTGGCACCAGGGGGCAGGCAGAGACTGTCACACAAAGGGCAGCCGCTGCTTCCCTCTTGGGTGGGGGCCAGCGTGGGGGCTCAGGAATGATGACAGAGTGGCACCCAAAACCCTGGGGTCTGGTGTTCCCGGGACAAAATGACCATAAACCTCAGGGCCCCACTCCTTGTACCTCTCAGGACCGCAAACTCAGGGAAGTCCTTCCGTGGAAAACCCTCCTAGTTTAAGTTCCAACCGTGCCAAGGAACTGAGTGCAGAGAGGAGGAGGGGGAGGCAGGAATTCCCAGTTTCCCTTGAACGGGAAGGGATGTGACAGGGAGATGAATGTCCTGGACAAAGCGCTGTCTTCGCCCGGCAGATCCTGGGGCCTGTCCTGGCTCAGCCACTCTCTCACTGTGTGACCTTGGGCAACTCCCCTCACCTCTCTGAGCCTTGGTTTCCCCATCTATAAGTTGAAGATCAGAATAACCCTTTCCCTATTTGTCGCCGCTCCCGCCAGGCCGGTAGATACCAGGTAAGGGATGGGAAGGGTGCGTGAATGACGCACGTTACTATCAAACGTGGTGAGGCAGACGGTGCAGGGAGTCGTGGTCCCCAAAAACCAGAGACCCTGAGAATGGCTTGGAAGCTGCTGTCCCCCTGGAACAATCTCTCCTGTGCTCACGGCCCAGCAAAGCCTCCCTGACTATCTACCCCGACACCCCTCCCTCATTCCCATCAGAGTACATCACCCCGTTCTCTGCTCTTCGTGCAAACCTCCCCCAGCCTGGGCCCACAGTGCCCAGCGTTGGTGCTGCAGCCTCCCTGGCAGGACTAGGAGCCCGTGCAGGGAGGGATGGATGGAAGGAGGGTCTACTTGGGTGCCCTCGATGCCCCAGCCCCTGTACCAGAGCCTTGCTCACAGGGGGCAGGCAGAGCCCCCACACCTGCCAGCCCCAGACGACCCAACTCTGCTGCCAACTTGGGCTCCTCTGGGGCTAGAAGGAGCTTCTGCCACTCAAGCAACCGGTGCTGGGACCGCTTGCTCGCTCCCGGCTCCCTCAGCGGCTGGAGTTGAATTTCCCACATTTCAGTCCTCTGGGGCCAAAGCTGAGGATGGAGACGACCCTACGGAGGGATGGTCGGGGCTTCCTGCCCACTCCCAGAGGCAGACAAAAGCACCCAGCATTCCCCTCCCACTCCCGTGCCTTTGGCCGGAAGCAGCCACCGCAACTGTTCCAGTGTCTTCCAGGGGCTCCCACCAAGCCCTGCGATGCCGCCCGCCCAACAGGGAGGCTGCAGCCCCAGGCTACCAGTTCTCAAGAAACAGGGTCTTCTGTCCCTGTGCTATAAGGGGCCAGTGCGGAGAGGGAGGGGACAAGGGCAGCTGTGGGGGCAAACCCACAAAGGGGAAAGGCAGATGGGCAGGGAGGAGTGGGCGAGCAAAGTGTGTTCACAAGTGCGTGTGTGCGTGCATGTGTGTGTGCGCGCCAGCGTGTCTGCAGGTGGGCAGGCAAGAGTTGTGGCAAAGCGTGTGCGCCGGGTGCCAGCTGGCAGAGCGTGAGCCACCAGTGCAGAGCTTGCTGTGTGTGTGTGTGTGTGTGTGTGTGTGTGTGTGTGTGTGGTGGGCATGAGTGTGCGGGCCTAGGAGTGAGGAGGGGTCTGAGAAGGTGTGTGTCAGGGTGCGTCAGGGCAGGAGTTGTGAGTGTGAGAAGGCAGCGCGGAGCCTCAGTGTCTGTGGCTGTGACTGTCTGTGTGGCCGTGGGGGTGTGCGCACCCGTGCGAGTGTGCGTGTGGCCAGGAGGCTGGGGCATCTCCGCGAGAGCGGGAACCGGGGTGCGCACCGGGTGCCCCCTCCTAGCGCCCGGCTGGCCGGGGGACCAGGGCGGGTCCACCGCGCCGGCAGGGGGCGCCCCGGGATTCTCGCCACGGCTAGCACGGGTTCGAGCCCCGGGGCTGTCAAGTTGGAGCGGCGCCCCCCGGGGTGGGGTTTGGTGGGGAAGTCCGTGGGGGCGGCGACCGAACTCACCGTGGCCGGAGACATGGTTGTCCCAGGGCGCGTGGCCGGCGGCCCGCGTGGCGCCGCCGAGTTGCAGGAAAAGTGCCAGGTAGTGGAGGGCGCCCAGCGCCACCGCGAGCGGGGCCCCCATGGTGCGCGCTCGGGCCGGGGGCGCCGCCGCCTCACATCGGGGCTCGGGAGCCCGCAGACCCTGCGCCCGCCGCCCCCTGCCCTGTGCGGCCTGACTGCCGGCTGCGGCCGCTGCCCCTCGCCCGCTGTCCCCGGCCCGGCCCGGGTCCCCGCCGTCGCCCGGCTCCGGCCCTCCCGGCTGCGGGTAGCGAGCGCACGCCCAGCCGGCCGCCTCTGACTGCGGGACTCTTCCCTTCCGCGGAAGGCCACTCTGCTCGGCGCCGCCGCCGCACCCCTCCCTCCTCGCCCTCCCCCCGCCCAGAGGAGGCGGCGGCGGAGGGATCTGCCGCTTGATTTATCATCAAAGTTTTGCCCAGGCTGGGATTTTTAAAGCGGTACCCGCAACTTTCCCTCGCCTGGGAGCGGGGGCGGGGACGGGGTGGAGTGGCAGAAGCCGCCCCAGGGACACAGTTCCCGCAAAGCATAACACAGCTGGCTTCAGAAACAGACATATTATCCAGCAGGGATAAGGAGAAAGACCAATCCACCTGCGGCCAGACCAGAGCGACTCCAACTTTGCCAGCAGGGGGGCGCCGGGGTCAGGGGATCAGGTGGGGGTGCAAGTGGGGGGGGAGGGGGAGATGAGGAAGGAACTTGGGCTGAGGAAGACACAGGAGACCTGGTTATAGCTCTGCTGCCGCCTTCGACTCCCTGTGTGATCGTGTCCAGGTGTCTACCCCTGTCTGAGCCTCAAGGTCTCACCTGAGAAGTGAGGATAATGGCTGCCACCAGGGGTCATGGTGAGGATTTAAGAAGTCGTGTATACAAAGCGCTTAGCATAATGCTGCCTACGTGGTAGGAGCTCAATACTTTTTGTTCTCCCTGGCACTCAGTTTTCGCGTCTGTATAATGGGAGCGCGGCAGCCCAGCTGGGGAGGCTCCTTCCGGCTTACAGATACTGAGCCTTAGGCAGTGGGTTGGCTCGCCCCCTTCTGGACTGTCGCCTCCCCAAACTGCTGAGCCTAGATGGTTGGGGGTGTGTGTGCGCGCGGTGAGAGAGGGGGATATGGAGCCACTCCCATTCCCAAGAGCAGGACTCCAGCGAGGTCCTCCGACTCCTTCTCTGACCGTTTTGCTGGGGCTGATGAGACGGACCTTCAGTAGGGCGGAACTGTGGTCCCGTTTAAAAGATGAAGAAGTATCTTAAATCAGGGAAGTAGCTTCTCCGAGGTCCCACGGAGACTCCTGGGCAGGGTGCCGCCTGCTCTCTTCCTTTGCCCTTCCCCAGGCCTAGTTCCCAACTCGGCCTTGTCCGCTGCGGTTTCAGCACCACGAAGGAGGACAGCGCCGATCAGGGCGCCCGCCCCCGCCTCAACCGGCTGTTTGATGCAAGGGTTCAGCACCGCGGACAGACCCTCTGACTTCCCTCCCACCCCCACCCCACCAACCGAACTAGGTCAACCCATCATGCGGCCCACTCCCCAGCCCAGACCGCGGATGGACCCAGCATCCAGCATTGCGAGCAGCGCCCAAGTTTGAGAGCGAGGTTAGAGCCCGAGGAACGTAACCCCTTCTGTCTTTACTCTGTCTTCTCATCTCCTGCTCTAACATTATGGCAGGTAGCACACCGGAAGGGGCCCGTGGTAGCCAGCAACAATCCAGTTCCTTCAAAATTAAGGACACCCCCACCCTCCAAGCATCGTTTCAGCACCACGGACAGACTCCGCCGGACCAGCAGCGCCCACGCGCTTCCTTCAGCACCGAGGACAGATCCCGGCATCGTCCCAGCTCCTGGACCACACTCACTGGAGGAAAGGGCTGTTTTTGCCTGATTAACTCACTTCTTTCTTCCATTCAGAGGTGGTACTTAGGTTATCCTGGGATGGCCAGGCATCTCAGACTCTACGAAAGCGTTTTTGCATTTATTAATACACTTGAACCTCACTTCCAGTAAATTGGGCGCTATCGTTCCCATTGTAGAGATGAGGAAACCTGGGAATCTTTGAGATCACCTCGCAGCGCCAAGACTGAGACCCAGGACTCTTTCACCCCCAGCCTGAGGCCTCTCCAGGAGACTGTGGTGACAGAACTGGGGCTCAAACCCAGGGCTTTCTCCTCTTAAAACACAGATTGGAAGGAGGGGACACAGGGAAGGGGACAAAGAGGGAGAGGAGGAAAACAAGAGATGCTTGAGGACTGCAGAGGAGGGGGCTGGCGGGATGCACTGCTGTGGTGCCACTAGCCCCCTGACTGACCTTCAGATATCCTTTCTCCTCGCAGTCTGGAACAAGGTTAAGGTTCCTTCAAGGACAGACCTCCAGGGATCGTATGACTTTGAAAAGGCTCATGATGTGATGTTTCTGCTCAAACCCCTTTGATGGCCATGTTTATTCGAGGAATCCTGACTTCTCTAGTTTGCATTCAAGGTCCTAGTCTCAGCTCCTACGCATAGCCTCCACTCCAGCCACTGTTCCCTCCCTGAGCATGTTTTGGCTTTGTTACATCTTTACCATTCCCAGTGCTTCCCCTACACTTGTATGCTGTCCCCTCTATCTAGCCGAGTCCCCCTTTGGCCTGGGTACAGCCTGAATCCCCCACAGCAAGAAGTGCCTGCTGCCTTATCCCAATCCCCAAGTCTCTTTGTGGCCATTGCTGTAGCACTGTGCTGAGAACATTAATTATCCCACTTAATTCTCAGAACAACCAGGCTCACTTAGGGTAGGATAGTGTGGTTAGAAGTGTGGACTCTAGAGCTACATTCTCTGAGTTTTAAATCCTGCCACTTGCTAGCTGTGTAACCTTATGCAAGTTGCTTAGCCTTTCTGTGCCTCAGTTTTCTCATCCATAAAATAAGGATAATGATATCCCCTGCACGCAATTATTGTGAGGATTAAATGAGTTGCTACATGGAAAACACTTAGAACAGTGCTTGGCACATAGTAAATATGATACATGTTTGTTGTTGTTGTTATCTACAGATGAGAAAACAGGCTCACAAAGGTTAAGTTTCTTGCCCAAAGTCACATAGCAAGGCAGTGGTACAGCCATGATATGTTTGATTCTAGAGCCCATGCTTTCAGGGATAATTCCTGAGCACATCTAGTGCAATTTGCACTCTTAGCATCCTATAACACTAAGACCCAGAGAGGGTGAGTGACTTCCTCAGAGTCACACAGCCAACCATGACAAAACTAGATCCAGGTCCTCTGTCTCCCAGCTCAGGGATCTCCCACTATGCCATACTGTCCCACTTTTATTTCCTGCAGCTCTTAAACTGCACATTATAGTTTACAAATCTCATTCACATCCATGATTTCATATAGTTCATACAACAACCCCCGAGGCCACTATTATTACCTTCCTTCCTTCTTTTATAGATGAGGAATCAGAAGCTCAAAGAGATGAAGTAACCCTCACAAGGTTTCACAGTAAGGCAGGGCAGAGGTTGGATTGAAAGGACGGATCCCAGCCCATACTCCTTCCCTGACTAATTCTGTCTCTTGTCTGCTTCCCAATACAAATGCAAACTGCAGGCACTGTGGAACTGAGAGCCTCGTGGAGGCAGAAGGTAAGCAAAGACTATCCAAGGAAATAGACTTTAGGAATTCACTAGGGTGGGTGATTCTCTCATTCATTTCACTCTGGGAATGCTCCGGGAGACAGAAAACCTCCCATCCCTGGAGGCAACTGAACAAGCATCTCGTGGTCATGTGGATGCCAGGAAGCAAATATCACTGCTATTTCCATTACACAAATGAGGCTCAGAGGTGAACATCACGTCAAGTATTTCAGGTGGGGAAGACGATCTTTTCAAAGTTCCCCCCAAGCACGGGATGTTGCATCGTGCCTCACCTCTGAGCCTGTCTCCTCCCTTCCCTTGACTCAGGGAGGCCACCCTCCCTCCCCTCTTTGGGAGGTGTCACTTGAGCACTGTGGCTCTGTCAGTGGTAACAGCGTAAGATTTGTCCTTTTAATCCAGAATCAATAACAAATTTCATTTAAAAATAAATTAAACCAGGCATTGGAAATCATTCACCGTGTGGGCCGGGGCCCTATATAGCACCGTCTAAATGGCTTCCTTGCGCTCATCTGTCAATGCCAAGAGGGGGAAATACCTAAGCTGCCTGATTCATGGAGAAACTACTTAAATGTATCAGCCCCTAACAATGAGCAATGTAAGCCCGGAGTCGCACCTCTTAACACACCAATAACATGTGGAGCAAGGCTTCATGAGAGCTTATCAGAGACCCCACGGTCACTGGCTTCGAGAGAGCCCATTTACAAGGGGGAACAATGGCTTTAGTATGGAGCCACCTAATTTCCAGAATGCATTACTGAGCTCCGAGGAGCAATGGAATTCTATTAAAGTCTTATCTGCCACGGGAGGGTATGAAACCGGCAGGGAAATCCAGTCTTGGCATAGACATGCCCAGAAAGCACCAGGGCTGACCCTAGGAGGAAGGTGAACAAGCCCAGAGGGAGAAGGAGGGCAGGAGGGGCCCCGGATGTGTGAAAATATGTGCATTAATAGAGTTCCAGTTTCCAGCGATTACGTTTACATCAGCGAATAAAACTTGGCAATAAAACATCGGAGCTGCGTCTCAGACAGCATTTCCTTTTACAGCCCGGTGTATTTCACTCATTATAACAGGAGGCAAGGAGCGCGAGGTGTCCCCATTTCTCCCCCTTTAATTAAATTTCCTAAATTACTGCCTAAGATTTGGATAAAGCGAAAGACTTACGACTCCACTAATCGCCATCGAGGCTCCCGCCCCATCACTGTGGTGGCCCTGACTGTACCAGTTCCCAACATTATTAAAGTGAAATACTGTGGGCATTGCCTGCCTGGGCTCTGGTTTGTAAAAGGAGACATAACGTGGGGAGAGAAATTGGCCCACCGTCAGGAAGGAGGCCTGGGTTTCAGGACTGGCTTGGCCATCACCACCTTGTGTGACCTTGGGCAAGTGACTTCTCCTCTCTGAGCCTCACAACTGCCCGTTTACCCCAGACATCCATCTTGAGGCTCTCAGGATTGATTTGGGGCTGGGGAAGTCCTCAGATGCATACTGGCATGACTTGGGGAGCTTTAAAACAATATTAGTGTGCAGGCCACACCCCAGAGATTCTGACATAATTGGTCTCAGGTAAGGTCTGGGTATGAGGCTTGTACAAAATTCCCCAGGCGATCCCAGTGCACAGGCAGGATTGAGCACAGTGGCCTAGGCACAGAGTTACGAGATATTAAAATCCTCTGGGGAGGCTGGGTGTGCCCAGGCCACACTCCTGGGGGGTTTCTTTCAGTCTGGCTGGGGGGCATCTGGGAATCTGCCCACTCACAACACTCCAGGCATGTCCACTCACAACACCCCAGGCCTACCCCAGGGAACTGGTGGGCCACAGTGAGGATTCCAGCAGGGGTGGGAGGCCGGGAGGTCCTACTCTTCTGTTCCTTGCACTGGGCCCAGCCAGCCCCGTGGAATGAGAAAGCCACTCTGCCCAGCGCTCCTCTGGAGGGCAGCCCAGGAGCCAGCTGTAACCTCCCTGCAAGGTCTGGGATGACTGATTTCCTTATCTGCTCTCCTCTGGGCTGGCAGGAGCCTTGATTAGCCTCTGTTGTCACACCCTGTACCTGTCACAGGAGCCTCCGGGTTCTGACCCTTCTGCCCACACTGTTCACCACTGATGCAGACCCAGGTCCTCCATTGTCATGGATTCTGAGTGTTCATGTGCACGCTGCCTCCATCTGCATGCTGCAGGGCTCGTGAGCTGCCTGGGAAGGCTCCTTCTAGGCTGGGGGCCATGCCCAGGCCAGGGGCCAGACACCAGGGCCCACAGGGAGTTCATCCTGCCTGGCCTCTGTCTCTGCCAGGCTGGTAACCCCAGGGAGACCTACGGGGCCTCCCTGACATTTCTTTGCTTTATGCCAGTCCGGATGGACCACAGAGAGGAAAGACATCATCTACAACCTAAAATTTAAAGTATCTCTATTTTTTTTTAACATCAATCACAGATGTCCCCATTGTGTAGATGGAGGAACCAAGGCCCAGAGAGGGGTGGGAAGAAGCCCAGATCTTGCAGGGAGGGAACAGCAGAGCCAGGCTGAGAACCCGGGTCTCCTGACTCCAGGCTGGGGCTTTTCTACCATATGCCATTGCCTGAGAGGGCAGCTGGGTTCCATCTTCACCTCTGCAGCCAGGCAGCTCCTCCAGACATCCAACTCTGAGGGTTCCCAAGGCTTCAACACATGAATTTGGGGGCGCATGAATATTCAGTCCATAGTACCCCTCTAGGCCTTGGCCCTCAGATTTGAACCTAATCCCCAAAATCGTGCTCTATCAAGGCCTGTAAGAAGCACCCGTGGCACGAATCTGTGCTGGCCCAGCAAGGGGCCTGATGGTAATCCTCATCAAAGGCAATTAATGCACCAGGGAGGGGCCCCCTGGGGCCTTCGCCCTGCAAACCAGGTGCTTATTAAACACAGCAGGACAGCAGGGTCTCTGCTAATTATAAGGCCCTGCTTGTAGGAATGTTTTTAAAATCCTGAACCGACTTTAATGGCATGGTTAATGCCAGTCTAAATATTCCACGGTTGTGAGTAATTAGCTAGACCAACACTGTCCAACAGAAATAAAATGCAAGCCGCATGTGGAATTTTAAATTTTCTGGTAGCCACATTAAAAAAAAAAGGTAAAAATAAACAAGTGACATTAACTTTAATAATATATTTTATAGGAACCCAATATATCAAAAATATTACCATTTCAACACATAATCAGTGTAAAACATTACTAATGGGAGAGTTTGCATTCCCTTGTGCATCCCAAGTCATCAAAATCTGGTTGTGCATTTTATACGTAAGGTACATCTCAGTTGGGACCGGCCACCTCCCCAGTGCTAAGTGGCTCCGTGTCACTCATGACAACCACAGTGGACAGCTCAGAGCTAGCCATTCTAAGGGAGGCCTGAGCTTGGTATCGCCATGGACCCCACACAGGGGAAGGGAATGAGCATTGATTGAGCACTTACTGTGTGCCAGGCATCAGGATGTATCTCATAAAACCCTCATGACAAGCATGGGCTGTTCACCTCATCTTACAGCTGATGCAGCTGAGCTTCAGAGAGGTGAAGTGACTGGGCAGATGTCACACAGTGGCTGGGACAAAGGTCCACTGCCCCAGGCTTCTGCCATCAGAGCCCTCGGGTGGAGACTGGCAGAAGACAGGGCCTCAGCCTGGAGCGGACCGGCCGAAACGGCAGGTCAATCTGGGCTGTTTGCAAGAGCCTGCAACCTCAGGGGTCCGTGCCCCTCAGGGACACGATGCCTTTTTGAGATTTCCTGCTGCAGGGCACAGGGAGCCTGTGGAAGGGCTGCCCGGCCTCCTCCCGAGCTTCGGAGGGGAAGCAGGGCCCCAGCTCCAGGGTGGCGGCGAGAGTGAGAACCGCTACCCTTAGCCCAATTTTAATGACATAATTAGTTATGCAACTAGCTGTTTAGTGTCGGTCTCCCCTACTAGTTTGTAAGCGCTATAAGGGCAAAACCGATGTCTCTCTCGTCCCCGCTGCATGCTCAAGGCTAGACGCGGCTCCTGCCGCAGCCAGCTGCGCCCCACAGGTCAGCGCTGGCCTCTGCTGGCACTCCGCCAGCCACCGGGAGCCCGGCACCTCCGGAGAGAATTGCTTCCAAGTCTGAAGGGCACTGTCCGTTGCAAAGGGCAGCCCCAGACCTGGGCTCCAAACCCAGCTCTGCCATGGACAGACGGTGTGGCTGTGGCAAGTCACTTAAGCCTTCTGAATTGCAATTTCCTCATCTGTAAAATGGGGAGTAAAAGGGACAAGTCCATGAGGTTGTTTGGGAAGGGGAAGGCACAAGGGAAGAACGTTGTCCTCTGTGCGTGTGTTAGTTGCTGCACATGCCCTCGTTGTTATGGGGCTCAATCTCCCTCCTCACACTGACATCCGCATGTCAGTCCTGCGTGGACCCTCTGGGGCCAGAGAACGGGGGTCGGCGCCAGTCAGATACCTGGTGACAGGGACCAGGCCCCCCCGTTTCCTTGTCTGAACCCTGCGTGTCCCCAGCTCCCTCCAGCGCCAGGGGCCTTTGTGGGCGTCCTTCCTTCCCAGCATGTCTGAGGCCACTGCGCTGTGCACGGGCGTGTGCAAGTGGCCGGCTCCCGCCCTGGCACCTCCCTGTGCGGAGACCGTCTCCTTCTCACTCGGGCCCAGGCCAGCGAGCTCACCACATCTCACAAGTCCTGCTGTGACCCAGGCCTGTCACCTCTCTGCCTCTCAAATGCTCCAGGACCATCTCATCTAACACGCAGCCCTCGTCCCTCTGAAGTCCCTTCCCCTTCTGTATTTTTCTCAACGTTTACCTCGTCTGCTGCATTTCATGGTTATTTCTTGGCTTTCTGTCTCCCTCGCCACAGGGCAGACCCCACGAGGACAAGGGCTGTGTCTGCTTGTTCTCTAGCAGAGGTCCTGGCCCAGAGCAGGTGCTCAGAAATAATTATTGAGTGACTACATGAACGTGATTTTTTACACCTTTTTGTGCTGGTCTGACCCTCGCACCCCATCAGACTGAGAGCCCACGAGGAAGAATTGAGTTGGTTTTCTCATCCTTTGCTACTGCAGGCAGGGCCTAGCACATAGTAGGTCCTCAGTTACGACTGGCCGAGTGGCGCTGGACTGTCCACATCTTGATACAGGTTACTGCTTCTGCATTGCAATGACCTGCAGGTGTCATTTGCTGACGGCCTACAATGTATCAGGTCACGTGCCAAGTGTGTACATGTCTTTTCATTGAATTCTCACAGCACTGAAAGGTAGGTATTTGAATTTCCATTTTACAGATGAGGAGACTGAGGCCCAGAGAGGCGCCCAAGGTCTGACAGCTGGCAAGTGGCAGAACCAGGATCCAGTTTGGATCTTCCTGGTTCCAAATAGTCAACAACACTTACTGCATTGGCCGCGTGCTGGTCACCGAACTGAGTCTTTTGCTAATGTCTCTCCTTGAATCCTTACAGTGACTCTATGAGGTCACACACACCATGAACACTCCCATTTTACAGGAGGAGCCCGAGACTCTGAGGGTGCAGAGGTGCCCAAGGTGACACGGCTGCTGGTTACCAGACGACCTGTCTGCCGGGTGGAGGGGAGAGGGTCAGGCTGGCCGACTCCTGATGTTGGGGTGCGGTTCCCCCACTGGGGGATGGGAATCAGGCATGCCGAGCCCTATCCAGTCTCCAAGTTCCCTGAGTCCCTGGTCCCCCCCGGCAGCCTCCTCTCTGCACTGTGGCCTCCCTGCCTCTGGAATGGGAGGGCACAACTCAGTCATCGCTGGGAGCATTTCCAGCTCAATTCTCCAGGGTGCCAGGGCGAGATGAGAGGACAGAGACTTGACCAAAGTGCCCAAGGTGTCCAACACGGATCTCTGGAGCCCCAAGCTAATGTTCTCCCCACTGAAGCAAAGGCCCTTTGCAATCAGGGTGGGGCATTAAACCAAAGGAATGACATTCTAATGGTGAGATTTCAGGCAAGGGTGAGGACGGTGCTGTCTTCTGAGGGGTCCCTGCCAGAGAGGAGGCATCATCGGGCCGCCCGGGTCCCTCGTATTAATGATCTACTGGTAGAATCTGGACGGAGGTGCCCGGTAATTATATTTAAATGGCTGGAACCTGCTCTGGTCTTTCATGGCACTCACGAAGGCCTGTAAATCATGCCACGGCAGCTCAGGGAGGGGACAGATTCCCTTCTAATCCGGGAAAGTCTCCAGCCGTGGTCACGAACGCGGCGCAGTGTGACATCGGGGGCTCTCCCAGCCTCCGCCCCCACGGGAGCAGACGTGGCCGGGGGACGGCAGCAGCTGGCCAAGCCCACGCCCCTGGAGCCCTCCTGCCCCCGCCTCAAGAAACCGGGTTGGGAACAGGGGCAGCTTTGGAGGGAAGAGGGCTCCCGGAGTGTGTGCACGTTTTCACTTCTCTGTCCGTCCACTCATCCATCCCACCAATATTGATCATCCATCCAATACCTGCTCTTTGCTGGTGTGGGCAGTGGTGAGAGCTCACCGCTGGGTTCACATCTTAACCCCGTGTGGCCCTGGATAACTAACTCCCTTCTCCTGTCTGAGCCAGTTTCCTCACCTCCCTCCCCGGACCCCAGCAGCCGCGAGGAGCGGATGAGATAGAATCCAGGCATGTTCACATGTTTGTCCTCGCTCTCTCTAAGACAATCTATGGCCATCAGGGGTTCTGAATATCATCTTATTTCGTGATCTCATTGTACAGGAGGGGAAACTGAGGCCCAGGGAAGGGCAGGGGCTTCTGAGGCCGCACACCCCATGCACAGGCAGAGCCAGACCTGGGCCCTGGGGCTCCACTCACCTCCGTCACAGGCCTCTACCCCCTGCCCCCAGGGGCACTTTCAGCCAGAGGAACCAGAAGCCCCAGCACTGGCCAGGAAGAGGCTGGAAGCCCGTCCCCAGCGTGTGTCCTGGGAGCCCCGCTTTGCCCGTGGCCTCAGTGTCTCCCGCACCCGCTGCTCGGTCACTTAATCTGTACTTCCTGGTCCCTGGTGTGCTGGAAGCAGGAGCCAGCTGGCAGTTTCTTCTCCTGGGCTCCTGTCCGAGGGCAGGGTGTGTGAGGCCCCTCTGCACCCCAGCAGGGCTCTCTCCCATCCCCCACCCCCACCCGGCGGCTGGAGAGGCAGCGGAGGACACCCTGCGTGTGTGCTGCGGCGTCTGGGTTTGGATCTGACTCTGCCCCTTCCAGGCTGGGTGACCTTGGGCCTTTTCCCTCTCTGAGTCTCTATTTCTCCATCTGCAAAATGGGAACAACAGGGCCCATGGCAGAAGGCTTTGTACAACGTAAACACCCACCACTCGCAGCACCTGGCTCAGGAAACGGGCGCAGGGATCGCTCACGGCCATCGGCCACCCTCGGTCAGTGGTCAGGGCCCGACTGCCCGCGCCACTGGTCTGATTCTCCAGGGGCGGCTCCAGCCCAGGCGTGGAGGAGTCTGGGGAGTGAGGGAAGCCGGGTCAGGCTGGACTCCAGGGCCTCAGGAGGCCTCGGGCTGCACCGGCTGCAATAGGGAGGTGGGGTCCGGTCACACAAGGGCGGGGCGGTCTCGGCTCTGCTCTGTGTGCTTAGCTCTGGTCTCCGCGCCCGGACTCCGCCCCGTTTCGCCAGGGAAGGGAGCACCAGGACGGCTTGTTCTCCCGGGTGAGGTCGTCAGCATCGGGGGACAGTGACTCAAAGTCTGCCGGCTCTTGTCAGCCCTGACCCACATCCTCCTGAACCTGCCCCAGACGGAACTCCTAACCCTCCCCGCGAGCCTGGGCCTCCTTGGATCCCACCCCCGCCGTCTCAGGAGGGGCTCCCCATCCGTCCGCCCATCCCGAACCCCCAGATCGGATCCTTCCCCAAGCCCTGCCCACGGAACCCGGAACTTCTTTCTCACCATCTGCTTCTCTGCGCTCACCCTGCAGCAGCCGCAGGAACCCCCTGCCTGCCTCCGCCCGCGCCCGCCCCTGGCCGGGCCTCCCACGGCCAGAGCGTCCTCTCCGCAGGTGCGAACCTCACACCCGCCCCTGCTGCGGGTCTAGACGCCTCACTCCCACTGCTCAGAATGAAATCCAAGCAGCGGCCTACACACCCCGGGCTTCCCGATGTGACCTCGCCTCCCGCCAGCTCCCCTTCATGCTGTCTTCCAGCCACTGGCCTTCTGGCAGCTTCTAGAATGTACCGTGCTCCCTCTGCCCGGAACACGCCTGCACCTGGCGCAGGGCTTGGCTCCGTGCCCTTCCCGGAGGGGCCATCTCGCCCCTCCTGGGTCTCCTTGCAGCTCTGGCCGTCTGCCCGCCGCCCCCACTGGGCTGGGAGCAGGCCAGTCTGCGTCCCCACTGTGTACTCTCGGAGCCAGCACCCCGTCAGGCCTCCGCGAATCCTGCGGATGAGGGAGGGAGTGAGGGGAGTGGTGGGCGAACAAAGGAAGAGCTGTGACTTCAGCCTGGGGAGAGGATGTTGGGCATGCAGGGCCTGATCCCTGTATTTTCGCCGTAGAGAGGTCCAACCCCTCAGTGACACTGGCTCCTCACGTCTTCTCTGGACCTCGGTTTCCCCTGGAGAATGAGGGATTGGGCAGGGTGACCTCTACGTGTCCCCCTCACCCTGGGGGGCTGTGTGCTGGGATATGAAGGAGGCAGGCAAGTGGCAGAGCTGGGCCCTGGAGGTGGCACTGGGGGAGTTAGATTAGGTCCACACAAGGACAAACACTCCCATGGTCAGGGCTGTCCTGCCTCCTTGGGAGGGAGTGAGCTCACCGTGCTGGAGGCATGTAAGCAGGGGTGCTGTAGAGAGGACTCCGGCTGGGGTCTGCCTGGAACGCAGAAAGGCACAGGCTCTAGAGCCTGTCTCGGCACCGTCCTCATTAGCTCTGTGACATGGTGACACTGGTGAGTTGGTTTAGCTCTCCGAATCTTGATGGCCTAATCTGGAAAATGGAGATGCAGCATGAGCCTTGCAAGGGTTTGAGAACATGCATAGGGCCTGGAGCGACATCAATGTTTAATGAGCACTGGCGGCTTCCCCGGCCCAGCCTGTGCTTGCAGGATGAAAGCTCTGGCCATACCCCGCGCCCCCGGGCCACTTCCGCCCACGTCCGGCAGGGGCCTGGCCCCCAGTTATGGGTCTCGCGGCGTGCTCCTCCTGGGACTTCCTGCCCAGGGTGGAGGGGCCGGTTTGACCCTGAAGCTTCGGAGCAAGGGCAGCCGAGCCGGCCTCCCCGCGCCGGCCCTGCAGACCGCTGGCCGGTGAACCTCCGTCTCCCGCATCCCGCGCCGCGCAGCGGGAGCCCGTCCTTTCCACGCCTCCCAATCACGGCGAACTGCCTCATCAATCATGTTCTCTCTAATTAACTTCTAATTTACCTCTTTAGTCAAATCTGTTTACAATCAGAGACAAGAAAACACGCAGCAACTCGAGGTGTGGACGAGGGGCCCAGCTCCAGGGACCGAGGAGGATCGATCGGCCCTTGCCCCGGGCGGCAGTCCCGGCTCCCCGCCCCTCCCAGGGAGGGCTGAGGGTGCTGAGGGCAGGGGTGCGTCCAGCCCCCTTCCCCAGCAGCCCCCTTCCCCCAGCAGCCGGCACCCAGCATCGGAGCCCCCACCCCAGCCCCGAGGCCTCGCTCTCCCGGCCCCCCAGCCCCTGCCCTCCCCGGGCCTTGCCTGTGCCCGTCTCCCGGCCCCTCTGCCTCTCCAGGGACAGCTCCTCAAGGGCAGGCGTCCTGCCCCTTCCTGCCGTGTGGCCTCAGAAGACGGTGCCACAACTCTGAGCTTCTGTTCCCCATTTGCCACATGAGGGGTAGAAAAACGCTGCCCACCTTGCAGGGCCAGCAGGCACCCAACGAGTCCCCGTCGGCAGCCCGGCCCGGCCTGTCCCCAGGCTGCACACCGCCCAGCACGGACGGAGCTCTGGCCTTGTCTGTTGTTTGGTTTTGGAATGTTTTAATGTTTTGAGATTTCCAACTAATTGCACTTAGAGAGAAGGTGTGAGCACAGTTTGTGATGCGTCCTCACCTCCCAAATGTTCTAGCGTTTACTTTCTAAAACAAAGACGTAGTCTTACATAATCACAACACGACTGCAGAATCGGGACGTTGGTGTGGAAACGTCGCTGCTGCCTAATCCCAGGGAGGGCCTGGGTGTGTTTGGATCCCACTGCACCACTATCGGCCATGCGACCCTGACGGAGCCCTAGCGACCCTCCTGGGCCCGTTTCCGCACCCTCGAAGCGGGTGGCGGGGTAGGGCCGCTGGGGGTTCAGTGAGCAGGTGCAGGGACAAGCACATGGGGGGGCGGTTCTATTACGACCTCTGTTTTCAGAGGCGGAAAGGGAGGCTCAGGGAGGGGAGTCCCTTGTCCCGTGTCACACGGGAGGCTGCAGACAGAGGAACCCCGGGTCGGGGTGGGCATGCTCTCCAGGGATGGGGAACCCGAGGCCCAGAAAGCCCAGGACTCTTCTCTAGGCCCCTTGGCCGAGGCTCCGGGAGCCAGCAAGTGGTGGACGGTGAGAAAGTGGAGGAAGGTGAGCGATCACGGTTAGTTCTGTTGTTGTTTTTCTGTTTTTTGAGACAGGGTCTGGCTCTGTCACCCAGGCTGGTGTCCAGGGCTGTGACCACAGCTCACTGCAGCCTCAGACTTCTGGGCTCAAGGGGTCCTGCCGCCTCGGCCTCCCACCTGCGGGGACTAAGGTGCGTTTGCCACCATGACCCCATCGAGGGGCAACGATTATGAACGGCTGAGCGATACCAACACTGAAGAGTGGGCAAAGTTACCTTGGAGGGGGGCTGATCGTGGAGGGGGTGGATGGAGGTTGCCCCCGGTGCTGGGGACCCTCTGAGGGGCCTGGGACCCACCAGGAGGGGCGAGGGATGGCTGGGTCCCCCATCTTCTCACAGGGTCACTTTTCCCTTAGCCTGCTGATTGGCTGATACATCCCCTCACTGGTTCATTCAGTTTGCACTCGCCCTTCCCTCTTTCTGGAACGTTCCTCCAGGTCCTCCTCCCACAGTCTTCTCCTCAGAGAGGCCTTCCAGAACCGTCTTATCTCAGAGACCTTCCCCTCACACGCACTCACTGTGCTCTTCAGCCCATCCCTTGTTCATGGCCGCCCTGCCACTCACTTCGAGCAGAAGTTGCATTACGGAATTCTCCTTTTGTTGGTTCATGAGGCTGTGCCTGTCTCTGTCCCTTCCTGAGCTCCTGGAAAGCAGGGCCTCTGTCTGCTCCGTGCTCGTCGGTCTCCCCAGAGCCCGGCATCGTGCCTGGCCAACACGGGGACCGGGGAGTGGAACCAGACAGGGCTCTGCCCCGCCTGCTCACAGTCCCAGCCAGGGGACAGTCACAGTCTCACGGAGGGCAGGGACGGCCCAGCCCAGGCCCCTGCACGTGGCGCTGCTGGATGGGCCAGACCTCGGTGGGCTGGCGCAGCGAGGCGGCACTCCCAGAGGTAGGTGCCCGTGGAGCCCCGTCCCCGGAGCCTGGCAGGCGCGGGCCCAAGCCCAGCTCTGCCCAGCCCCGCCCGGCTGTCAGCCCGGAACAGCATCTGCTTTCCGCGGGTTCTTGGGAAGCCCAGCCCAGCGGCCTGCTGTGGCTGCCGCGGCTGCCATCGGGGCTGCCATCGGGGCTGCGGGGCGGAGGGCAGGCGGTGTGCCAGCCTCTGCCCAGGGATCTTATCCGAGGACCGGGCGGCGCGTCTCCTCCGGAAGCCCGGGGGGGGGGGGCAGGAGTGACAGCTCTGGGACGGGGAGGGCGCTGCTGCTGCCTGGCTGCGTTGTCTGTTCATACTTCTGTTTCTCTGCCCGTGTTTCTCCTCTGGGCTGCTGTGATTAGGTGTCCAGGTGCCCTCAACGCGGTTCCAGCGGAACTTGCCTTGGTGAACGGGCGACGGGATGGCTGCCTCCGACAGCTGTTTCTTCCTGGGGAAAAAACAAAGGCTGTTAGAGACCGAGTGAGCTGGGGGCAGCTGGGAATCCTTGGGTCTACCTGTACCAGACTTTCAGGAGACCTGGTGCTTGTCACTTCCCCTTCTGGGCCTCAGTTTGCCCGTCTGTAAAACAGGGAGGAGCTGAGCCCTGACTCTGGGCACAGGGGCTGGCCGAGCCCCTGCTGCAGCCACGACGGACTGACCGAGCGCGGGAAACGCTCACTCCGGTGCCGGAGGGGAGGAGGCATTTGAATCCAAGGTGGCATTTTTGTCGCTGTGTTCTTAATTGTAATTGCCATTTAATTAGGTTAATGATAATTAATAACACTAATACTGTACTGTCCTTTGTCTGGGCGGCTGACATTGCAGATCCATGGTCCCCAGGTGGAGCTGGGCTGCGCCGGCCCCTCCTTCCTCTCCACTCCCGTGTGCCCCTCCCTCCCGGCTTGGTCTCCCGCTCTCACGTGTCATCCCGGGGCTGTGGTCGCCTCTTACCGTGACAGCCTCCCCGTCACACCACGAGCTGCCCCTGCAAGGGGACGAGTGCACGCTGGTCAGTGGACAGCGGGGTGGATGGGTGGACGGGAGGGTGGTGGGAGGGACGGATGGACGAACTCACGAGCGGCTTTAGTCTCCAGGGAGGCGAGGTGGCCAAGCTCACTGACCGTCCAGGGCGCCCCACCTCTGCTTTTAGCCCCCTCGTCTGCTCCTCATTCACACACACATCTGGCTGTTCCTCACACACGTCACACGAAGGCCACTCCTACCTCAGGGCCTTTGCATTCACTGCTTCCTCTGCCCGCTCATCCGTCCAGTCTCAGCTCCGACAGGCCGTCCCTGACCCTCCACCTTTGACCCTCCACCCCTGACCCTCCGAGGTTGGTCTGGTCGCCTTCGTTGTCAAGCTGCCCCGTGGGCTCCCTGCCAGGCAGCAGGCTGGAGCGTCCTGCCTGTGTGCTGCGATGTGCCCACCGCCCAGGCTGGGCACGTGGTAAGTGCTCAGAAAACATCTCTGCAGAAGTGTTGACCGGTGGCCTACGGGGTGCGCTGCGTGAGCGGGCGCGGTGCAGAGGCGGGGTGGGGGGCGAGGCACAGCCCCGCCTGCAGGCAGCCCGCAGGGGGAGGCCGGGGCTGGGGGCGCAGAGGGAGGGGCCGGGGTCTGGGCTTCTCGGGACCCCTACGGTCATGCTCCGGCTGGCGGTGGGCTCTGTCTGCGTGTGTGTCCCCCTGAGGGCAGGACTTGCGTCCCTGCTTCCCCGAGAGGGCCGCGCCCGGCCC